ATGGATAGAGATAGGTCGGTAGGTAGGTAGGTAAGTAGGCAGGTGATAGGTAGGCAGACAGAAACTAATATTGATGGATAGATGTAGTTGAATAGATAGATAAACAGAGAGACAGCCATTGATAGTGGGTGGATGGCTGGATGACAGACAGACAGACAGACGAATGAATAATCTGTCTTGCTGAGGATGCCTGTTTAAAATAGGGGCAGAGAAACAAAGAGGGAGAACCTTAATGTGAAACTGGATAAACTCTGGTCAATTTCATTCCTTGAGAATGATTATTTAGTCTTTCTGTGCTGCCTCATCAGTAGGGGCAGAGGGGTTAGAAGGATGAAGCCCACCAGGAGCATATACAGGTGCCCTTGAACGAATCCACTGCACATTCACCTCTTACAGATCGATGAATTTAAGTGGACTGCCTTTGGACATCTTCAGTCAGAAGATCAGATTTACTGCTCAGGGGCATAAAAAAACAAAAACACAGCATCGTTTTTGGAGTTAGGAAAGAGAACAGTTGAACTGGATGCAATGCAATCAATGACTAAATCGTATCAATTCAACTTTGCAGGCAGCCCCTTTAATACGACAATCCTGCAAGTTTGGGCTCCAACTTCGACTCAGTGCGGAAGGGGAGAAAGTAGACAAGTTTTATGATCATAAAAGAGCATGCAAGAATTTTCAGGTTGGCCTTCCATTGGAGACTGGAATGCCAAAGTCAGGAAACACCGCTGATTGTAAAGCCTAGAAAAATACAGTGAAACCGGAGAAGATCTTAGTGTCTACAGAGATTCTCAAGTCATCCAGGTCATGGTTGTCCCAAAGGTGATTTTTTTTTTCCTCCAAAGAACTGAAGGAAGCTTCTTGGATGAGAAGCAAACCATCTTCAAGGGGAAAAAAAAAAAAGACCGATTGCCCTTTGAAAAAGCACCTTTGGGAGAAAGTCTGAGCAATCTCAGCCAATCCAATGAGGTCTTCATCGGTTACAGAGTCTTCCAGTAACGAAAATAATGCTTATGTACACACACATCAACAGATGGGAGTGGAACAACTCAGTTAACAGTGAAGGCACAGCCAGGGACTTGAGTGTGGAACAAATCACAAATTGTTCATGTGCAATTTCCAAATTAAGCTGAAGGAGAAAGAGAAGAAGAAAGCCAACCAGTTTCACAACATGATCTTGACCTTATAATCATCATTTCAGAAAAGAACATCAGGAATCACTTTGAAGTCCTGAACTTCATGGGTGGAAAACCAGAGAAAACGATGGAGAGGAATCAAAGTTGTTCAAGAGGAATGTGGAGGGGGGAAAAAAAGGAGAAAAAAAAAAAAGACTGCCGGAGATGAAGGAACAGAAGAAAACGGATATCAGAACAAACCGTGAAAATTGCCAAGCAAAGAAGAGAAACTACAGCCAAGAAAGACAACATTTCAAAAGGGAACTTAAGCTTGTTAGAAGAGGGGGGGGAAAGAGATCTTATATCAACAGCTGCAGAGACACTAACGATGGAAACGGAGACAGAGAAACTATCTTCTTAAAGATCCTAGAAAGAGCACGGAGAAGAGCCACAAAGACGACCAAGGATCTGGATGCTAAATCTTATGAAGATTTGTCGAGAGAGAGCCAGGCATGTTTAGCCTTTTGAAGAGAAGGGTTGTGGATTGATGACAACTTTCCTCCAAGACTTTTGAGGGGCTATCATAGAGAGAAGGAGGTCAACCTATATTCTACAGAGCATCTGAGAGCAGGACAAGAAGTAACAGACGGAAGCTTATCAGACATCGAGAGAGATTGAGGCCCTAGAAAGAGCGCAGAGAAGAGCAACAAAAAAGTTTAGGAGCCTGGAGGCTAAACTACAAAGAACGGTTGTTGGAATTGGGTATGTCTAGTTTAATGAAAAAAAGGAATAGGGGTGACATGACAGCAGAGTTTTAATATTTGAGGGGCTGCCCCAAAGAAGAGGGAGTCAAGCTATTCTCCTGGGAAGCACCTGAAGGCAGGACAAGAAGCAACGGATGGAAACTCATCCAGGAGAGACGCAACCTAGAACCAAGGAGGAATTTCCTAACAGTGAGGACAATTAACCAGTGGGACAACCTGCCTCCCAACGTCGTGGCTGTTTCATCACGGGAGGTTGGCAAAAATAGACTGGACAACTCTTTGACCAGGATGGGATAAGATGTCCTTCCTTGCTCCAACACTGGAGGGACAACTTGTTATCTGAAATGGGGTGTGTGCGCGTATTGCATTTCGGGGATGCCCGCCCGTGCTTTGGGCACCTGGTGCTGAAAGGTTAGCCATCACTGTTCTATTATCTTCACGCTGCCAAGGAAGTTCCAGCTGGTATGCTGAAGGAGCCCGACAGACACGTGGAGGACAACTCTGAAATTCTATCCAGGTAGCTCCCTTAGTGATCGTTCGAAGTTGCAACGGCACTGCAAAAGTGACTTGTGACCATTTTTCACATTTACTACCATTGCACCATCCCCACAATCAGGGGATCAAAATGCTTGGCAACTGACTCCCAGTTATGACGGTTGCAGCCCTGGGATCACATGATTCGCCTCTTACGACCTTCTGACAAGCAAAGTCAACGGGGAAACCAGATTCACTTAACAACCGTGTCACTAATTTAAGAAAGGCCATGATTCACTAAACACATGTGGCAAGAAAAGTCGAAAAACGGGGCAAAACTCGCTTAACAAATTTCTCATTTTAGCAACATACATTTTGGGCTCAATTGGGAGTTGTAAGTTGAAGACTACCTGCATAGAAGAACCGTCAACATCTAAGAAAGCTTAGAAGACATTCCTGATTTCAAAGAACCTCTAGTTTGGTCGTTACCATGTCAGAAAACTACAAGAACTTTCTGGGGTATTTCTGGAAACAGGGCAAGCACAGAAGAGAACTATACCAAATCATACCAGCAAATCTGGACAACAACATAGAGGTCAACCGTTGGAAGAGGCCAATCTCTTCTTAAGTGATGGAACACCCACACAACCTCTGAAGGCAAAGTCGTCCCTCTGGTTAATTGTGGTTGTTAATTGTCAGTGTTCATTAGGGGAATTTAGACACAAAAAGTCTAAATTGGCTCTTCCCATCTATACAAGCGTTTTGGGTCACGGAAGGACGAGTTCAGCATTTCTCAGCCATAACACCTTTAAGATGAGCGGACTTCAACTCCCAGAATCCTGCATAGCTGGCTGGGGAATTCTGGGAATTGAAGTCCACACATCTTAAAGCTGCTAAGGTTCAGAAACGACGGGCTAGTTTGTTGGCCCCGAAACTGACCCTGAACCCAGCCTGACCATCTCACCAAGTGACCAAAAAACAACAACCCCATATCGGGGTGGGATTAAATCAGTCCAAACAATGAAATAGAAACCAGTCTGGCTCTAACAGGTGCAAGGAAGTTATCTCTTATCAGATATCTATTAACCATTTCCTTTACCATTTTCCTCCCCGGAGAAGACGAATGAGGACAGTGCCAACAATGATTCATTCATGATACAATGGATCCCCTTTCCCCATTGAAAAAAAAAAAAAGAAGGTTTGTCTTGCACAAGTAAACAATTTAGAGATGGCCCGAGAATAAAACATAAATACGTGGCTTCCATGCCGACTTGAATGCGCCCAGAAGACAAAAGGAAGAAGGTGGGGGGAGAAGAAAACATCACAGGGACATCCTGACTGGGTCTTGAGATCGTGGTTCTTGGGATCCAAGACTTACGTTGGAATGGCAAGGCGACTCGGCGTCAGCCCAACCTCTGATGGGCAAAAGGCCAGCAGCTCTTCCGAGGCTCAGGACACAAAACAGCTGTCCATGGAGGCCAACATCCTGTTTCCCAGAATGGGAACCAAATGCCTCCAGGAAGAACACATCCAGGGCAGGAAGACAAAGGTTTCCTTTGGGCATCAGCCTTACAGCTATATAACCGCTGAACATGGAGGCTCCACTCCTCACATCCATGAGCAATAGGAACTTGAAAATTGCCCTTAATGGATCTGCTCTGGTACTGGAGACATCCTGTCCGGCATCCTGTTTCCAAAAGCAGCTAACAGTAATTTTGGTGAAGACCAAGAATCATTTATCCATTTTCGATTTCTTTACACTATTTATATCTCACGGTTAAACTAGCCTGATCGTACTCTTGATGGTCCTTGGATCTCTTAACCGAGGACCACTACTGAACCAGTTTTGGTCACCGTATTATTAAAAAAAAAAAGATGTTGAGACTCTGGAAAGAGAGCAGAGAAGAAGCAACCAAGATGAATAGGGGACTGGAGGCTAAAACATATGAAGAAAGGTTCCTGGGATTGGGTAGGTCTAGTTTAGTGAAAAGTGGATTAGGGGTAACATGATAGCAGTGTTCCGATATTTAGAACAGTAAATCGGTCGGTAAAATGATCGGTCAGATTATTGGGGACCATATGCTGACTCTGTAAACCACTTAGAAGGGGCTGTAAAGCCCTGTGAAGTGGTATATAAGTCTAAGTGAGATTGCTTTTTGTAGGGAATATTTTAACTTGGATTCTTGCACTGACTGGGTATATGTGTGGAAACTCAGACAAATGGTTGTCCGGTCTCTTCTTAAAAACTTCCAGTGTTGGAACATTTTCAACATCTGGAGGCAACTTGTTCCACTGATTAATTGTTCTAACTGTCAGGAAATTTCTCTTTAGTTCTAGGTTGCTTCTCTCCTTGATTAGTTTCCACCCATCGCTTCTTGTCCTGCCTTCAGGCGCTTTGGAGAATAGCTTGACTCCCTCTTCTTTGGGGCAGCCCCTCAAATATTGGAACACTGCTATTATGTCACCCCCTAGTCCTTCTTTTCATTGGACATACCCAATTCCAGCAACCGTTCTTTGTATGTTTCAGCCTCCAGTCCCCTAAACCTCTTTGTTGCTCTTCTCTCCACTCTTTCCAGAGTCTCAACATCTCTTTTACATCATGGCAATCAAAACTGGATGCCGTATTCCAAGTGTGGCCTTGCCAAGGCACTATACCACTTTAACACTTCACGTGACTTGATCTATCCCTCTGTTTATGCAGCCTAGAACTGCATTGGCTTTTTGGGCAGCTGCTGCACACGGCTGGCTCCTATTCAAGTGATTGTCCACTTGGACTCCGAGATCCCTCTCACAGTTACCACTATTGAGCAAGGTACCACCTATACTGTACCTGTACATTTGGATTTCTTGCCTAATGTAGAACCTTACTTTGGCTTAAAGGCCCCTTCCGATGACACAGTCTATGAACTATCTTCTTGCATAGCTTCTCCCGATTTTGCCAGGGCCCTCATTCCACCCCTGAAATGTTGGATCACGTTAATCAAATCCAAACAAAACCTTCTCAGTCAAGTCTTCAGTATCCAAGGATTACATCTGTTTACAAAGTGTTTGGAAAACCAATAAAGGCAACAACTTACTGTACTTCCCCTTGATGGAAAGCAGACCCCACCAGGGATGAAAGCTGAAGACACGGATCCCTCCCCTCTGTCCACTATGATGTCAGGACTAAAAAATTATTGGATGTGTTAAAATAACCTTCTGCCTGTTTCAAGTATGTCACACTTTGAGGGCTGGATTCTAATCAATTGTAACGACTATTTGGGATGAACCAGAGAACGGAGAGCTTGTTTAATTACCTTGAAAAGGGATCCGTTGACTCCTTTAATACGTCAAAAACAATGCAGCCTCCGCTGCTGATACTTTTAACGTGTAAGTTTTGAGGATCAAAATGTTTTTGGACAGCAAGAAAGAGGCCATCTAAGGAACAAACAGATTTGGGAGGTCTGTTTTCTAATAGCAAATCTTAAGGTCCAGCCTATTTAAGCAGCAGCCTCCAAGGCTGTAAATGATCCAAAGCTGGAAGTTTTTAAGAAGAGATTAGACAACCATTTGTCTGAAGCGGGTGTCGGGTTTCCTGCCTAAGCAGGGGGTTGGAGTAGAAGGCCTCCAAAGTCCCTTCCAACTCTTGTTATTCTAAACAAGGTGACTTCCCTGATTTTAGAAGCAAAAAGCATTTCAGATTTGGTTAATACCTGGGTGAAAGGCAACCAAGGGCTTTCAGCTAGACTGGAAGGCAGCAGTCATACTAGAACAGAGGTCTCCAAACTTGGCAACTTTAAGACTAGTGGACTTCAACTCCCAGAATTCTCCAGCCAGCTGTGCTGGCTGGAGAATTCTGGGAGTTGAAGTCCACTAGTCTTAAAAGTTGCCAAGTTTGGGGATTCCTGTACTGGAAGAAGGAAACGGTAAACCGCTTCAGCTCCGGGGATGTAAAACTGAATATAAAGATGGCCATGAGGTTACTTGAAGGACAACATTCATCGACAAACTACAAATAGTGCAAATAGCTCAGCAAAGTGATTAGACTCATGGAATGAAGTTAGCTGAATGGAGTCAATTTTGTTCTTGGCATCAGAAATGACTGGATGGACCTGGATTTTAAATTGTGCTTCGTCCTCTGTCTGGTGTTCACAATACTTTGTGCTCACATTTTGGAAACCTAGGCATATTTCTTCTTCATCATTGTTAGAGTACCTTTCTTCTCTGTCTCTCTCTTCCTCTCTCTGCCTTTCTCTTTCTCTCTGCTCCTTCCTGTTTCTATCCCTCTTTCTCTCTTTCTTCTTATCTTTCTCTCACACACTTTCCCTCCCTCCCTCCCTCCTTCCTTCCTCCCTCCCTCCCTCCTTCCTTCCCACCACTCTCTCTCTCTTTCTCTCTCTCTTTTCCCAAATGAAAATACCATTTCATCCATCTGCTATAGTGGATTCTAGTCTACAAAGCTTATCCCAGAACATCCCAAAGGTGCTTTTTTTAAAGGAGGCAACTGGACTTTCTGGTTTTTCTTTGAAGACATTTCGCTTCCCACGTTTCATTTCCCACCATCCAGTCAGAGCTGAAGAAGCTTCTTTGGATGAGAAGTGAAACATCTTGAAAGAAAAACCTAAAAGTCCAGTTGCCTCTTGAGAAAACAAAAGCACCTTTGGAACAACCGTGACCTGGAGGACTGAGAAGCTCCATAGACACTTATGCCAGAACAAAAAAAAACAAAAAAACCCCATGTTTTGCAAGCGAACCAGTTTGTTTAACCAACCAGGATCTATTTTTATTTTATTTTATTAATAATATACATGGCACATTAGGACAAACAGCAGGTCCTTGTGTTAGCACTCCAACATTTGAAAAAGAGAGGAAGCGGAGAGAAATTATTTAACAGTAAAGTTAAATAACAGAATATGTATATATTATATGGGTAAGAGAGGAATCCTTGTAGCTATTGTTATCCTCCTCCACAAATAGCAAAAGGCAGAATAAAGTATATAAATGGGAAATCCTGTATCTTGGCACAATTTATATATAGCCTTGGCTTACGGTACTTGAAGTGGAATGATAATTCTCGAGCAAGTGGCTGCATTCAACCAAAGCTATCCAGAAATAGTCCCATTGTTCAATCACACTATTTTGAAAGCAGTCCAGGAATAACGATAAGAACGACGGAACAGATCCAACCGGTCCTTGTGCGTTCCATCTTTTTCTTTGAATTGTCTTTCAAGTCTCCTTGCAAAACGAGGCACCTTTATTTACAGGAAGTCGCTTAAACATCCATCTTTGACTGGCAAGCAATATGACTATGAGGTAACCACCTCAAACATGCTAACAAAGCGGCCAATAAAATAAAATCTAAGAGCAGGCTCTCGATATCTATTTTATGGATGGCAAATTAATGTTTAATGGCATCTATTAAGAACATCCACATTTCCTAAGCGAACTTCGATCTAGTTGGACAAAAGGACCCGAGGTTCTTCGCCCACTTCAATTCGCTTTTTTATTCAATTGTTTCTTCTAATTTTAACTTTTTTAAAATTATTTTTTATTATATATTTTCCTTTTGTTGGAAGTTAAAACCCATCCCTCTCCTAGAGAAATGATATATTTTAGGATATGCTAAAAAGGCAGAATATTTCCCCTAAAAGAGAAGCAGAAACTCAGAGAGGCAGAAACTCAGCCCCCCAACCCCACCCCTCTTTTGGGAAAGGGCCATTAAGGCCTGGGTCAGTCTATTCTACATAACAAAGATCTACCTCCTTCAAGCAGAGCCATTTCATTGCACCACCCACCAAGTTTCAGCCAAACTTAGCACACAGACAACCTACAAAGCTAGCTATGACCTCTGACAGCAACCAATCAGGATACTCTTTCTATGCTCCAGGAAGTTCAAAGCCAGAGAGGCTTTTACAGCCACTTGTCCGAAAAGGTACAGGGTTTCCTGCTGGAGCAGGAGGTTGGACTAAAAGACCTCCAAGGTGCCTTCCAGGTCTCTTCTGATTAATATTGGCATGTAAAATTGCAAAATGAGTATGTACGCATTACCTGTACTTAAGTACTACCTATACTTGAGACATCATTTTGGTCTCGGGTCTTGCTTGGTTGGTGGACCCTTGATTGTCTTAATCTGGGTTGACTTTGGGGTAGCATGTTTTTGTTTCGTGTCATTGTTATGGTTTGGGGTTTGCCTTGGTTAAGCTGCCCAGAATCTATCGGAGTGGGCGGCCATCATAACTTTAAACAAACAAACGAATGAAACTTTCGCATCTGTTTTCAAAGGGAGGCTTACCATGGAGAGGGGAACCAGACGGACTGCTGGAAAGGCCCGGCACGGGACTGCAGCGCCCTCCTTGTTTGGTGGTCAGCTCTTGCTCGATCTCCTCCAGTCCTGCGCTCTTCTGGAAGCGGCTCATGCGGTTCACGACCCGGGGCGACAGGTGAGTCCGTACGCAGGGCTGCCCTCCGTAGGGGTTGATGGGGAAGACGTGGGAGGTGCCTCGGAGGGTACTGACCGCCACCCACCGGCAGTCGTGGCTGAATGCGATGTCCTGCACCTGGAGAGGGAACAGGGGCGGCAGGACGTCAAGCAGTGCAGTGCATGAATTCGAAGGCAAATCGATAAAAAGAGGAATATTTGTAGCGCAGGGTTGAAATGAGGAGCCCTAGGTGATGTTTCACTACCCAACTAGATAACATCAGTGCTAGGAGAGGAGGAGGGGGGAGGAGGGGGAGGGGGAGGAAGACTGTGGGGTCCTTGGTGTTCTCTGAGCTTAGTTGCTTTCTTGCGGACGTTTTATCACCCAACTAGGTAACATTATCAGTGCCAGAAGGGGGAAGGAGGAGAATTGTGCGGTTCTTGGTGCTCTCTGAGCTTGGTTGTTTTCTTGCAGACATTTTATGACCCAACCACATAACATCAGTGCTAGAAGAGGAGGGGGGGGGAGGAGGGCGATGGGGAGGAAGAGGAGGAGGAGGAAGACTGTGGGGTCCTTGGTGCTCTCTGAGCTTGGTTGTTTCCTTGCAGGCGTCTCAATACCCGACTAGATAACATCATCCATGCTAGAATCTACTCCACATCACCTGCTCCATGCTAACTTGTTTCTCACAAAAAGTCTGTGTAGGTTACCAGGAGTCCTCAACCCCAATTGGGACCAGCATTTCTGTTGCTAAGCATGGAGGTTGTGAAGTGGGCCGTGCTGAATTTTATGATCTTTTTGTGCCACGTTTGCTAGGTGAATCACCACGGTTGTTAAATGAATCACACAGTCATTAAGAGAATCTGGCTTCCCCCATTGGCTTTGCTGGTTGAAAGCCGGCTGGGAAACTGCACATTTTAAATACATGCTGATGGCTAAGCTCTTGAATTTTGATCAGGTGGGGATCACCACAATTGTGCCCCAAATTTCCATGGTTCCGCAAGACTTTTAAGTGACTTTTGCCCCCATTTTTTACGACCTTTCTTGCCCCTGTTAAGTGAATCACTGCAGTTGTTACGTTAGCATCCCTGGTTGTTAAGCGGATCTGGCTTCCCCATTGGCTTTGCTGGTCAGAAGGTCTGGAGTTCGATCACGTGACCATGGGGATGCGGCAACGGTCGTCGGTGTGAAAACCGGTCCTAAGCCACTTTTTTCAGTGCTGCTGTAACTCTGAACGGTCACCAAAGGAATGGTTGCAAGTCAAGGACTGTGTCAATTCATAAAGTATTCCTGGCCTGCTCTCGAGTTGCCATAGGCAGGAGGGTGGGAGAACTGATGGAGCTGCTCAGGCTGCTATGACTAGAATCACATTCCACACTTATCTTTCTCCAGATTGTATCCCAGGTTACTAGAGCCAGCTGGAGAGACATGTTTTCTACAGCCCACAAAAGTGTGCCGTTGGAGAATGTGTGTCATGTCTCTGTCGGAATGTGATTTGGAGGGGGAGGCCGAGCAGCTGACAGGGAGTGGGGGTATGGCTCCGCTGGCTGTGGAAGAAACTGGGGAAGAGCAAAGTCCGGATGGGCAGAGGTAGAGCAAGGTAGAGAAAATTCAGAGGAAGACTCAGGGCCACCCCCTATTCATCCTAGGGCACGCAGGGAGGAACAGAGAAGGGAGCAATGTGAGTTGTGTGGCTCACGGGGGAGGAAAGGGCCCTGATTCCCTTCATTAGCCGCAGCTGGAAACACAGTGCTTAAAAAGGGAGCTTGCGCATAGCAACTCGTGGGAAGCAAATCGTGAGTTATCTGTTATTGTCAAGGCTTATCTGAGTTCCTGGCGTCTTCCCGACTATGTGTGCTTTGTTGGCCTTTGAAGTCTGTAATTCCTTCTCCTGCCCTATCCAGTTAATTACTGCAGCCTGGTTTGTGTGGATTTTTATTTACAGTTTATATGTACTTTGTTTTCAGACTGAATTTCCTCCACTTAAAAACTCTTTTGGGGAGAGGTTTTTTCTCCAGCCAAAGGTAACTGGACATTGGGGGCAAAGTTGGAGGTATTAAAGGGACTTTTCTTACTTATGTGACTGTGTTGCCTTTGTACCACATCCCTTTGGGTCATCACATTGTGATTTGTGACACACCCTGGAAGGAGGGCGGAAACAGGGTCATAGGTGGGCAGTAAATTACATGGGGCAGAGACAACTGCATTTGGGAAAGTGCCAACATGTTGCTCCTAATAAATAATTGGATTTCTTTTGAAACTTGGCTGGAGGCTCATTAATTAATTAGGGCATCCGTCGGAATCCTGACAGACTATCTGTGTATAAAAAGGATGGAAGAGTTCTCGCAAAAGTTATCCTTGGAGATATGGAGCCAACAACGGCTGCTAAAGTTTCAAAACTCAAAATGGAGTTGCAGGCATAACCCATCGATACAGGGAGTCCTCGACTTACAACAGTTCAAAGTTACAACAGCACTGAAAAAAGGGACTTAGGACCATTTTTCCACACTTACAACCATTACAGCTTCCCCATTACGGTCACTGGATCAAAATTCAGACGCTTGAAATGTGACTCATATTTATGACGATTGCCGTGTTCTGGGGTCATGTGATCCCCTTTTGTGACCTTCTGACAAGCAAAGTCAATGGGCCAGATTCACTTAACAATCATGTTACTAACTAAACATCTGCAGTGATTCACTTAACAACAGTGGCAAGAAAAGTCATCAAATGGGGCAAAACTCACTTAACAAATGGTTCACTTAGCAACATAAGCTTTGCGCTCACTTGTGGGCCATAAGTCGAGGACTACCTATACTCCATAGGAAACCTTCCCTTCCTCCTGTATAGAAAATATTGGGGTAGGAGGAACAAGGATTTTTTTTTTGTTAATTAAGAGCAGAAGGGGGTCAAAAGTTAAGGTTTAAACTTTGGGGTCAAAAGTTTTATTAACACAAAGCCAGGTTTGCGGGGAGTTTTAATACCGAATCCAGCAACCCAATAACTTTAGAAGGGCTTTAAAAGGTTCTTTAGCTCAATCAAAGGCCCAGCTCGATAAAGCACATGGTTGTTGCAGCAACACAAATTGCCACACACACACACACAAAAAAAAAACCCACAGGAGCCTGCTGTCATTTTTTTTCAACTGGATTTGGCTCTGGGTACTGGTTTTTACAGGACGCCTTAGCTTCTTGCTCATTTTTTCATCCCGAGAAAACACGAAAAACGAGAGGTAAATAATCACCAGCAAAAAAACAGATCTCTCCCCCAAAGTTTTGGATGTGGTCTGAAATTAAAGGGGAGGGGAGATTCCCCTCTTCCCACAGGAGGAAGGACTTTGAACGTTTTTCTTTCTTTTTTCCCCCTGAATGAAATTGCATGAAAACGTGCGGATCGTTCCCAGCCAACCGCCTGAAAAAATAAAATAAAAAATGAAGGTTTCTTAGAGGTTCAAATCTGGGAAGCTATAACTTGATTTGGAAAATGGGGCACTCGGAAAATAGCGAGGGGATGAGGAAGCCTTCAAGACTCCCTTCACTGAAGCCCCATTTTCTGATGGATTCGGTGCCTGTCTTGACTCACACAATGAAATGCATTGGTTATCCTGAAAGATTCCACTTTGGATATTATCTGGAAAAAGTGCCGAGAAGAGCAACAAAGGTGATTAGGGGCAGTGGTGGGATTCAAACATTTTTTACTACTGGTTCTGTGGGCCTGGCTTGGCGGGCGTGGCAGGGGAAGGATACTGCAAAATCCCCATTCCCTCCCCACCCCACTAACCTGCTTTCCAGCTCCGTTCTCCTGTGCAGGGCAACCAAAGGAGACCCAGCCGATCAGCTGGGACTCGATGGGAGGCAGAGAAGAGATGGGGGCGGGCCAGTCAGAGGTGGTCTTGGCTGGTTCTCCGAACTACTCAAAATTTCTGCTACCGGTTCTCCAGAACTGGTCAGAACCTGCTCAATACCCCCTCTGATTAGGGGACTGGAGGATAAAACATACGAAGAACGGTTGCTGGAATTGGGTATGTCTAGTCTAATGAAAAGAAGGACCAAGAGGGGACATGATAAGAGGGTCCTAGGATTTGAAGGGCTGCAACAGAGAAGAGGGGAACAAGCTATTTTTCAAAGCACCTGAAAGCAGGATGAAGAAGCAATGGATGGAAACTCATCAAGGAGAGAAGCAACCTGGAACTAAGGAGGAATTTCCTGACAGTAAGAACAATTAGTGGAAAAGCTTGCCTCTAGAAATTGTGGGTGCTCCAACACTAGAAGTTTTTAAGAAGAGATTAGACAGCCATTTGTCTGAAAGCAGGGGTCCCCAACCACTGGGCCCCGGACCGGGACCGGTCCGTGGATCATTTTGTACCGGGCCACAAAAAATGAATAATCGTGATTAAAATATATATAAAAATATGTTTTTGCTTCCGGGGGTCTTATTTTGAAAGACAACCACTTCCGCCCTCGCCTAACTTCCACGCTTGACTCTTTGGCGCGTATTTATCCTGCATCAGCAATGCAAGCTAGCCCTCGCAAAATGCAGGAAAACAAGCCCAGAGCTCCCACCGATTCTACATTTTGGTGAGTTGATATTATAGTGTTTTCGTTATTGGAACCTTGTTTCTGCGTGAAACTGGTCCCTGGTACAAAAAAGGTTGGGGACCACTGGTCTGAAAGAGTCCCCTGCTTGATCAGGGGGGTTGGACTAGAAGACCTCCAAAGGTCCCTTCCAACTCTATTCTTCGATTATTGTCAAGGCTGACTCGTAACGCACTTCTACTCACAACCTGACAATCGGTAAAGTTATACAGGTGCACCTTGACTTACAACGGTTCGTTTAGGACCGTTCAAAAGTTACAACGGCACTGAAGAAAGGGACTTAGGACCACTTTCCACAGTTGTGACCTTTGCAGCATCCCCCAGGATCATGCGATCAAAAACCAGGCGTTTGGCAACTGACTCACATTTATGATGGTCGGCGTGTCCTGGGGTTACGTGGTCCTCTTTTGTGACCTTCTGACAAGCAATCTCAAGTGGGGAGACAGGTTTATTTAACAACCAAGTCCCCAACTGAACAACAGCAGTAATTTCCTTAACAACGATGGTAAAAATGGTTGTTAGATGGGGACCACAGACCCTGCAAAGTGGGTTAGGAAGGAAAAGCTAGAACCAAAAAGAAAATAAAATCCTCTCGCCCCCCATGTTTGGCCATCCTGCAGGTCGAGAATACTGTCCCTCTCTCTTTCTCTCTCCATGGGAGGGAAAAAATTGTGCAGTTGCCAAAACAACTTTCCGGAAAAGAAAATAACATTTTTGCAAAATACTTATCTTTTTTTTTAATTTAAGGGTATCCTACGCTATCAAGGAGCCTTCTGGGTAGACAAAAAAAGGCAGTGGGGCCACGGATAACACTGCCACTGGCACTTATGGCTTTTCCACAGGGGTTATTTAAGAGAAAAGGGCATCCAAACCCTGAAAGAGGCAAACGGAGATGCTTCTCTCTACGATACAGTGAGCCCAAGACGATTTTGCCAAGCCAAAATAGCGCCTCAATTCTACAGGCCCTGAAGCCATGCCACACCACCAAAGGAATTATGAATATACAGTGTGTGTGTGTGTCTGTGTGTGTGTGTAATACTTTCCTCCTAAAATGCTCCGAAGCCTTGCCACACCGCAAAGAAATTGTGAACATACAGTATGTGTGTGTGTCTGTGTGTGTACTGTATGTATTACGAGTATACATATACATAGCAACAGCACTTATATACCGCTTCACACTGCTTTACAGACCTCTCTAAGCGGTTTACAGAGTCAGCATTTTGCCCTCCCAACAATCTGGGTCCTCATTTTACTGACCTCGGAAAAATGGAAGGCTGAGTCAACCTTGAGCCAGCTAGGATCGAACTGTTGGCAGTTGGCAGAAGTAGCCTGCACCACTGCATTCTAAGCACATATCCACATCCACATCCATCTATCCATCCACCCACCCACCCGCTTACCTACCTACCAAGCTATCTATCTATCTATCTCCTGGATCTACCTACCTACCTTCCTACCTACCTACTCTAAAACTCTCCAAGCACGTTTTAAATGTATAGCATTTAAATGAGAAACATATTGTTGGCTTTGTGGCACGGAAGACCCAAGGCTGAGATTGGCTCAAAGGGTGAGAGATCAAACATTCTTCCTTTGTTAATAGCAGATACAGATGCTGAATGCCAACAGAAATACACCCTTGATAGACAAGCACCATCATGCTGAAAAGGAACCCCAGATCTGCAGAAATACAGGAAGATACTCGACTTAACGACCACAACTGAGCCAATATTTATATTGCTAAGTGAAATATTTTCTTAAGTAAGTTCTTGGCCCATTCTATGGCCTTTCTTCCTATGGTTCTTAAGTGGATCCCTGCAATCATTAGACACTTTTTTCAGTGCTGTTGTAACTTTGAACGGTCACTAAATGAACTGTTATAAGTTGAGGACTACCCCTACACTCCCCTAATAGACAAGCATCAGGATGCCGAAAAGGATCCCAAATCTGCAGAAATATACTGAAAGAACATAATTAACGCTGAACATGATTACTACGCTTGGATTGCCGCATCAATTAGATATGTTTTCTTTGCTTTAAGCAGTTTCACACTTATTAAGAGCAAAGGGATTTTTATTATCAAATAGTTTTGCATTTATCATGGTGCGTCTGTGGGACATTTTATCCATGCAGATTAGAAGGTTTATGTATGAAATAAAAGAGTCATATTTACAGAAAGGAGAAGGAAGCTGTGACTCAGACGATCTTAAACTTAATTCCCATTTTAGTAACGGAAATGGTTGGGAATTATATCAGATGTAGTCTGGTATCATCCTTACGACCACAGCTTCCTCATCCGTGACATACAACTTAATCCCAGGCAAAGAATTTTCCCTTGGTTTGAATGTTCAAACTCTTAATTTAAAGTTTTATACATGATTTATGTCTCTGGGGTCTTTGATATTCTCTGAGCTTGGTGGTTTTCTTGCAGATGTTTCATGACCAAAGTAGGTAACATCAGTGCACTGATGACGTTAGCTAGTTTGGTAATGAAACGTCTGCAAGAAAACCACCAAGTTCAGAGAGCACCCAGGACCCCACAGTTCAACCCTGAGCTACAAATATTCTCTTTGGTGATTTATGGTTCTTTTTTGTGTCATCTAGGAATGACAAGAAATTAGGCTCATCAAGTAATAAAACATCATCTATCCTCCCATCCGGCAGAAAGGATACTTAAGGAGACTAAACTAGCTAAGTCTTTCCTGCAATAGTTTTCTTATCGAAACCAAGAACTTTTTGTTTATATAGTGATCTCTTATGTATCAAAGATGCTAAAGCCAAGGGAGGATTTAGGCTTTTTTTTCCAAGAAGGAAAACCCATTTCCAGCCCTTTAAGGACAGACAAAACCACTTCAAGCACCTCAGGTCTAAGTGACTGGGCTCCACGAAAAGTCTAAAGAAGCAGCAATCACATATTTTAAAATTAACCCAATCCAAGATGAATGGGTTTTCATAGCAACCAATGCCAACGTATCGGAAGAGCCAGGTTAGTTTTGTAGGAAGGCACTACCCCTCCCCAGATTAAAATATTCTTTATTCTTAATATTAAAAAGAGTCAGGATAGACTATTTCCCCCAAAGGAGAAATGAAAAAAACATGTTCTTAAAGGCAGAAAGGAGACCCAGTCTTTCTTAATAGCCTACAGCATATGCCTGAAAGTCTTTAGAGATGGATACTTTGTGCCCATTAAGAAATTCTGGCCTGCCTATTCATAAACAAAATCCCTTCAGCCCAGCTTCCCCAGAAAGGGGTTAAAAGTAGAAAAGCAAAGACTTCTAAACTCTACATTTCCCCACCCAAATTCTACATGATCTTTAGGATATAATAGGATAACGCCCCACCATTAGAATAGCAAAAGGCACAAGGCTCACTACATTGCATAATCCCCTGGAGCATCTCAAAACCGTACAAAGCTCCATCCATTCACCCAGCCAAGGGATCAGCTGTCCCAGAACTGCATGCTGTTGTTGGTTCTGCTCATCAATAAACCTTCTTTCTTAAGCAGCCTCCATCTTATTCCCAGCTTGGAACTGGACTTGATTTTTCTTCCTACAAGTTTCATTACTTTATTAAATAGGAGAGGGCTTAAGATCAACTTTAGCCACGTTTTCACAGTGGATGGTTTTTCCCAATTCTTTGGGTACTCTGCAGGAAAGAGGCCCAAAATCCAAAATTCAAAGTTACAAGGGCATTGAAAAAAGGGACTTATGGCCATTTTCCACACTTACGACCATTGTAGCATCCCCCATGGTCACGTGATCAAAATTTGGACACATGGTAACTGGTCTGTAATTATGACGGTTGCAGTGTCCCAGGGTCATGTGATCCCCTTTTGCGATTTTCTGATAAGCAAAATCAATGGGGAAGCTGGATTCACCTAACAACTGTGTTACTATCTTAACAATTGCAGTGATTTACTTAACAACTGTGGCAAGAAAGGTCATAAAATGTGGCAGAACTCACTTGATAACAGAAATTTTGGGCTTGATTGTGGTCATAAATTGAGACTGGCTGTATTTGAAACAAAAGCACAACTAAAGCATCTAAAATTTTAAAAAACTGTATTGAAACCCCACATGATTAAAAAAAACCATAGGTCTCTGAAAATATAATGAAGAAAATCACCCACCCAATTGGATAGGGGTAGCCTCCACATTCTGGCACTTCTCCACCCAATATTCATTCATTCATTCATTCATTCACTCATTTCCCCTTTAATTTTACAGATGGATGGATGGACGGATGGACAGATATTACAAATAACTAAAGGTGGAGAACAATATGTGGCCCCTATTCATTTCACAGAATAGCCCAACGAGTTGAATCAGTATCAATAAAACAGCTCCACACATCCCAATGGCTAAGAGTCACTTTATTGGGAAGATGGGCAGTGTAAAAATTTCATAAATAAATTAACTGGCAATAGCACTTAAGACTTGTGCTTTACAGCCATCTCTAAGCCATTTTACAGAGTCAGCCTCTTGCCCTCAACAAACTGGGTCCTCATTTTACTGACCTTGAGTCAACCTTGAGGCAGTCAAGATCGAACTTTCAGGCTGTGAGCAGAGTTAGCCTGCAATACTGCATTATAACCACTGTGCCATCACGGATTCCATTCCCATTCCATTCCATTCCTTTCCTTTCCTTTCTTCTTGCCTTCCTTCGCAAGCAAGGAAGTCTTATATACCGCTTCACAGTGCTTTACAGTTCTCTCTAAGCGGATTACATTATTATTATCAATCTTAACCTCCTCCAGAGTGATGGCAGAATTTCGGCCAAACCTCAATCTTCGAAACTGCTCTAAAAAGGATTCTATCAGAGCAGCGTTCCTCACCCTTGGGTACTTTTACGTTGGGTGGGCTTCATCTCCCAGAATTCCCCAGCCAGCCATGAATTCTGGGAGTTGAAGTCCACAAGTCTTAAAGTTGCCACAGTTGGACAGTCCTAATCTAAATCTTAGAGGATAAGGTGGGAACTTGTGTATTGTTCCAATCCTCTGCTCTTCTGGAGCTGGGAAAAAAACACAACCCTGCACAATTCTTTATTGCTCTCTGCGGTGAAGTCCTGCAGAGCAACAGGACGGTTGGAAGAAAATGAGCCATGTACAATCCATTAATGGAGTTCTTAATTTGAGAGCCAACCACCTTACATCCCTTAAATTTGTTGGCTTTCAACGCTTTCCAGCCCACCCTCTTACGTTCCCTAGATCAAAGGACAGGCGGCTGGCTGGTGGGCCAACTGAGACCACTGAAAGGTTCTTCAATGCTAGGATGCCTTTGGAGGACACATGGTGAACATGTGTAAAGGGAGGGGCTGCTGGTCCAGAGTCCATGTGTACGGCATAAAGCGTGAAAGGGGCTTTTATGCGTATCTAACAACGGTGCACACGCACACCACACACACAGAGGCCGTTTTCCAACCATGCATTATAAATGTGTAGGTTGGAATGAAGCCAGCAGCCGTGATCCTCCTTCCTATTCATCTCCAGAGTAAGTGAACTCCTGGGAGGAATTGAAGATAAGCCTTCATGTCTTAAATGAACCGATCCTCAACTACTCAACAACAAACGCCGGATGAAGTGAGCCAAGGACAGGATAATTCAGAAACCATATGAGTTCTCCTTCTCAGCTTTGGTCTGGGGTGTCATGACAAGAGATTGTAGAAGCTTTTCTTTCTTTCTTTCTTTCTTTCTTTCTTTCTTTCTTTCTTTCTTTCTTTCTTTCTTTCTCTTTCTCTCTCCCCCTTTCTTTCTTTTTCTTTCTTTTTCTTTTTTCTTTCTTTCTTTCTCTTTCTCTCTCTCTCTCCCCCTTTCTTTCTCTTTCTTTCTTTCTCTTTCTCTTTCTTTCTTTCTTTCTTTCTTTCTCTTTCTCTCTCTCTCCCCCCTTTCTTTCTTTCTTTCTTTCTTCTTTCTTTCTTTTTTCTTTCTTTCTTTCATTCTCTTTCTCTTCTTTCTTTCTTTCTTTCTTTCTTTCTTTCTTTCTTTCTTTCTTTCTTTCTTTCTTTCTTTCTTTCTTTCTTTCTTTCTCTCCCCTTTCTTTCTTTCTTTCTTTCTTTCTTTCTTTCTTTCTTTCTTTCTTTCTTTCTTTCTTTCTCACAAGCGGTATGGGCCTTTTTTACCTACACCTCAAGGGAAAATATCACCAACAATACAGAATAACCAAGTTGGAAGGGACCTTAAGGTCTCTAGCCCAACCCACTACTCAAGCAGGAGACCCTCCTATGCTATTCTGCACAGCTGTAATATTGCAATATTCGAGAGGCTGACACGAAGTAGAGAGGCTCAACTTATTTTCCAAAGCACCAGAAGGGCCAGGACCAGGAACGACGGATGGAAACCAATCAAAGAGAGAAACAACCTGTAAGTAAGGAGAAACTTCCTAACAGTCAGGACAATTAATCAGTGTAACAGCTTGCCACCAGAAATTTGGGATGTGCCATCACTGAAAGTTTTTAGCAATAGCACTTAGACTTATATACCACTTCACAATGCTTCACAGCCCCCTCTAAGTGATTTACAGAGTCAGCCTCTTGCCCCCAACAATCTGGGTCCTCAGTTTACCCACCCTGGAAGGATGGAAGGCTGAGTCAACCTTGAGCCTGGTGAGATTCAAACGGCCAAATTGCAGGGCAGCCAGCAGCCAGCAGAAGTAGCCTGCAGTACTGCACCCTAACCACAAAAATGATCGGTTCATTTTAAAGACTGGAGACTGGAGGCCGCTGCTTCTCTGAAATGGTACAGGATCTCCTGGTTGAGCAGGGGGTTGGACTAGAAGACCTCCAAGGTCCCTTCCAGCTCTATTCTATTCTAAATGACTGTCCAGTCTCTTCTTGACACCTCCAGTGATGGAGCATCCACCATTTCTGGAGAGAAGCCATTCCATTGATTATTGTTCTCGCTGTCATGAAACTTCTTCTTAATTCTAGGTTGGATCTCTTTTTGACAAGCTTCCAGCGACTTTGCTTCTTGTCCTGCCTTCTGCTTTGGAGAACAGGTTGACCCCCTTTTCTTCTTTGTGGCAGCCCCTCAAATATTGGAAGATTGTTATCATGTCACCCCTAGTGCTTCTCTTTGTTAAGACTAGACAATAGCCAGTTCCTGCCATCGGGGTTTTTTTTTTTATACATTTTGGCTCCAGCCCTTTGATCATCTTCGTTGCTCTTTGCACAGACGTTCTAGAGTTTCAACACCTTTTTTGTACCTTGGTGACCAGAACCGGACCAGTGCAGGGTTCTATGCCGCCTGTGGCGTGAACCACCAAGGCAGGATCCTATTAGTGGCTTTTTCACGTTTATGCTCTAAGCCATCCAATTTCTGCTCATCTTGTGGGCTAATGGACCAAGCACGTGTATTTATTTATAACATCCCTCCGCATTTGTTGTTAAATTGTGAGGTTATGTTTGGAGAGGAAAAATGCAACAGGGCTTTTTATTCCCGATATATTTACACTGATTGCTTTGCATTTGAAGATCGGACGGGAGGTCAAGCGGGCTTTTAAATACATCACTGGGATAAAATTCCTAGGAGCAGCCAAACTCCCTAAACAGATTCAACAGGATGGGGCCGAATAAATGGTTAAATAATGCAGATCACTCAAGTAGAAGCGATACCCCTCTCAAGCCACATGAGTGAGGCCACACGTGGAATATGGAGTCCGGGTCACCAGAATGCAAAAAAACACACACACAAAAATGCAGAAAGTGGACAGAGAAGAGCAACTAAGATGACGACGGGGGGGCACAACCCTCTCGGACCGTGGACCATTGGGAACCAGACTGTGCAAGTGTGCAAAGTGAGCATGGAAAGTTCCATTTGCACAAGTGGCGGGCATGCAAGCAAAACCATCCTCTTCTCCCCCACCAGACAGCCAGAAAGATTGGGGACCGCCGTGATAACAGGTCTTATTCAGGGGTGGGATTCAGCCGGTTTGGGGCTGGTTCGGGTGAACCGGATGTTAAATTTGCATCTGGTTCACTGAACCGGTAGTTGAGCCGACTGGCTGGCGTCACCCACCCTGCCCCTCCCCTCCCAGGAGTCCCCACGGGGCCCGTTTTGGATGCAGGTAAGTGTAGGGTCCGTGCAGAGGCTGTGGGAGGGCAAAACAGGGCCCGCTTTCTGGAGGGCCTCCGGAGCCCAGGGGAGGCCATTTTCATTCTCCCAGAGGCCCAAAGGAAGCCTCCAGACTCTGGGGAAGGTGAAAAACAGCCTTCCCAGAAATCCCGATAGGTCAAACCCACCCTGGCCATGCCCACTTAACAACGGGGCCGAGAACCGGTGGCTGGGATTTTTCAATCCCACCCCTGGTCTTTATTAATTAATGGAATGGTTTGCCTCCTGCCGTTGTGGGTGCTCCCTCAATAGAGGCTTTTAAGAAGAGATTGGACAACCTTTCGACCAGGATGGTATCAGGTCTCCTGCCCACAGCAGAGGGTTGGACCAGAAGCCCATCCAACCCTTTGATTCTATGGTCCGTGAGTAGCTCAACATAGAGGGAAACCAAGTAGGTAAGGATATGTGACACAGGTACACACAGAAGTCAGGAGAAGGTTTGGATTCCACCAATCAGTGCGGACATTTTTAGGAAATGATTTGCCTCTTTTGCAACTTCTCAGAAGTCCAAAGGCTAAAGGGGTGGGAGTTGAGAGCAGCCTCAGTTCTCGTCTCTGTTACCAATGACTTGTCTTTTAAACAGCTGCAAACAGACTGGATGAATTTATTGCCTGGTCAGGTGAACCCAAGTTTGAGGTTGGAGCCAAGCAGATCCTGAAGCAACCCTATCTGATGATGGTTATTTTCGTAACCACTATCTTCTGAAGACTTATGAAAGGGGGCGATGAAGCAGCTGTGTCTTCTCATCAGATAATGGCCTTGGTGGTGAAGGAGCAGGAATCTGACCACCCTTTTAATTATTTTCAAAGAGAACAGCCTGGGCAGCCATATGTCGAAACTTCACAGAAGTCATTTTTCTAAGGCCTCTTCTGTTTGAAGACCTGCCCAGTTGGAGATCAAGAACCAGAAGGACGGATAAGATGTGTCGTAAACAAATGGCTATTTATTTATTGTTCAAAGCATGGGCTGCCCTATTCTAGCGTGATCCAGGACAGCATATAAGACATTTTAAAACAACGCTATACCAAGTGGTACAAAATAAAAATGTCACCGGTGGTGTTAATACCACTTTGGAATAGCTTGGTAAGGCCACACTTGGAATATTGCATCCAGTTTTCGTCGCCACGATGTACTGTATATAAAAAAAAGAAGTTGAGACTCTAGAAAAGAGTGCAGAAAAAAAGCCATGAAGAGAATTAGGGGACTGGAGGCTAAAACATATGAAGAACGGTTGCAGG